GGTGGCATAGTAGTTAAGAGCTTGGCTGCTAACCAGAAGGTTGGCAGTTTGAATCCACCAGCTGCTCCTTGGAAACTCTATGGAGCAGTTCTACTCTATCCTATAGGGTCGCTATGAGTCAGAATTGACAGCAATGGGTTTGGTTTTGGTTTTGGTTTATTGGTATTATTACTGTTTGTCTTAGTGCTGCTATAATAGAAATACCCCCAGCTGCTTTAACAGATAGAAATTTATCTTCTCACGGTTTAACCCATTGCTGTTGAGTCAATTCCGACTCATAGCAACCTTATAGGACAGAGTAGAACTGCCCCATAGGGTTTCCAAAACTGTAATCTTAATGGAAGCAGATTGCCACATCTTTCTTCCGGGGTGCGGCTGGTGGATTTGAACCACTGACCTTTCGATTAGCAGCTAAGCGCTTAACCACTGTGCCACCAGGGCTCCTTTCTCACAGTTCAGGAGGCTGCAGTCCGAATTCAGGGCACCGGCTCTAGGGGAGGGCTCTGTGTCTGGCGGCTCTGGGGGAAGGTCCTTGTCTCTTTCAGCATCTGTTCCTCGGTTCCTTGGCGACCGTCACGCGGCATCTGTCTTCCCCTCTGTGTGTGCTGCCTTCTCTGTGTCTGGCCTGCTCTTTCTATATCTCCAAAGTGACTGGCTTTCGAAACACCCTACGCTGATGTGGCCGTATTGATCCAACGGGAGCACGTCCACAGGAAAGGGATTAGGACCTACAGCACATATTGGGCAGGGGGGCCTAATTCAATCCATGACACTATTATGATTAGTATTTAATAATAGTGACAGTGGACAACACTTTCGTTGTGCTGTTTATATTCTAGGCCCTGCTGTAGGCACTTTGCATGTATTAACAACCCAGAGAGGGAGCTGAGCTATTATCGTCCCATCTTACAGATGAGGAAACTGAGGCCCTAGAGGGATGCGCCTCACCCCGGTCACAGCTGTAAGTGCAGGCCTGGGATGTGAGCTCGGCAGTAAGCAGGCGTGCCTGGGACGCGGGGTCCTACTGATGTGGCAGAGGGGCCAGGTCATGTGTGACATGGGTGAGAACCCCAAGAACAGGTGTCTGCAGGGTCTTGAGGGCATTCACATCGGCAGTGGAGCTGGCTTGCACCCAGGTCTCCTGGTGTCTGGTCTGGGTCCTCTCTGTCCCCCTCACTGCTGCCCAGTGAGTCCCGGGCAGCCTGTGGGTCCCGGACAGCCTGTCGGCCCCGGACAGCCTGGCCTGCCATCCTGGAGCCCCACCACCAAGGACACAGAGGCCTCCCCATGGTGTCCCTCACAGAGGGCCTGTGCTCTGTCTAAATAGTATCTCTGGAGGTAATCCCACCCTGCAGATGGCAATGATGCTCATTTGACTCTGTCAGAATACATTCCTCTGGGCAAGAAGCCCCAAAGCCACAGACATCCCTGCTCTTCAACATTAGAGTTCCCCTAGGAAACAACCTGGAGACCGACCGGCCACAGGAAGACTTTGTCTGAGAGATGTTCACTGCGGCGTTGTTTATGGACGTCAGCTTTGGAAACAGACCAGAGCCTTTCCACCTGCACACAGCCGCAGACCCCCCTGGGGACTTCACAAAATACCTTTGACTGTGGGAGCCTTGGTGGTGCCGTGGTTAAGTGCTCGGCTGCTAACCAAAAGGTCAGCGGTTTGAACCCACCAGCAGCTCTGCGGGAGAAAAGAGCTGGCGATCTGCTCTGGTAAAGATTACAGCCAAGAAAATCCTATGGAGCAGTTCTGCTCTGTCCCTCGGGGTCGCTATGAGTCAGAACAGTCGACAGGCAGCGGGAGGCTCAGCATACACGCGCCCGGCCCTCAAACACCTCAGCAGGGGACCGCCTGGTGGGGAAGAAGGCCAGAGAGGACCCATGCTCCATGATTGACACCAGCACGCCCAGGATACGATCAGAGTTACTCTTCAAACCAGGAGCTGAGCCCCTCCCTAGATTCTGACGCAGGTGGTCTCAGAGTAGGCCAGGCACAGGCGTTTAAAAGCCCCTCGGTGATTTGGATGTGCAGTCGGGGCTGAGGCCACTCACCCGAGGAGCTCACGATGGGGTGGGTGACATCTCTGCTGGCCTCCCCCCCCCCGCCCCGCCTTGAGAGAAGTCTCGGCTGCAGCCTCTCCCAAGGACCCCTGGGGCATCACAGGTCAGCATGGAGGAGGTTCCTCAGACAGGTGGATGCTCGGTACCAGATTCCACCCCCCGCAGCTATGTGCAAGCCAGGTGTCTCAGGGACGGGGAGGAGCAGCACCACAGAGGCCTGGCAGGGGCCTGGTTTGTTACAGGTCCCTTTGTGAGCAGACCTTCCCGTGACCTTTATCCACTCGTGGTCGCAGCCCTGCTGGTGAAAAAGTTAAGATTAAAAACCACCTGTCTGCAGCTTGTTGTCGGGGCCCTCTGACGGCGCCTTCTCCCCCTCATCCCGCTCACGGCAGTCAGAGTCATGGGGGGCTGGACCCTCTAATGTGCCCCAGTGACAGCCCCGGGAGTCCCACCTCCTCACATGGACGGGGTGGGGGATGCAGAGCCGCTCGCAGCCAACACACGCGCCGTTCCTGGGAATGGGGGCACCTCTGCCAGGTGCGCACATGCGAGGGACCATTTTAAAAGAGAAATCTGTATTTAAGGGCGCGTCTGCTGGGTTCTCTGCCTCCGTAAAGGTCACCCAGATAGATTTTCCCTCTGTTAGTAGCGCCGGCTGTGAGGCGCTGGGCATTTCTATTCTCCCTCCGTCCAGTGAACCCGGGGACTAAATTAGATCCTGAAATTGAGTGCAGAGCCGCTGGTGAGTTACCGTAATGGCAGGGTATTGCTTCTCACCTGGCAAGGAGTGAGGTCGTGATAATATGAAGCAAAGTGGATTAAAAATAAAACCAAAGGTATTTATTTATGACCTGCTCAGAATTGGATTGGCACCCGTGTAAGCTGCATCTAATGGTGAAAGACAGCAGACTGATGTTGATATGTCCCTGTGGGGACATTTTACCAGTGAAATTTGCTCCGTGAATTCTGTTTAGAGGCCCACAGAAAGTATACAGAATGCAAAACCAGATGGGATTGAGGAAGGGACAAAAAACCAGCAACAGTAAAACAGCAATTAGCAGTACCTGCCAATGGTGACTTCCGCTCTGTGGGATTGGAGAGTAGGGCCTTGGCCTGCCCAGGGCCAGACGTCAGGAAGGGCGGTGGGCGGGGCGGCGGGGATGTGTGGCCATGACACCCACCAGCCAGCTGAGGGCTGGACATCGGGAAGGGCAGGGGGTACGTGGCTGTGACACCCACCAGCCAGCCCAGAGCTGGACATCAGGAAGGGCAGGGGGTACATGGCTGTGACACCCACCAGCCAGCTGAGGGCTGGACATCAGGAAGGGTAGGTGGCGTGTGGCCGTGACACCCACCAGCCAGCCAGCCCAGGGCCGGACATCAGGAAGAGCAGGGGGTGCGTGGCTGTGACACTCACCAGCCAGCTGAGGGCCGGACATCAGGAAGGGCAGGGGCTACGTGGCCATGACACCCACCAGCCAGCTGAGGGCCGGACATCAGGAAGGGCGGGGAGGGGTTGGCCGTGACATCCACCAGCCAGCCAGCCCAGGGCCGGACATCAGGAAGGGCGGGGGGCGTGTAGCTGTGATACCAGCCAGGACTGAAGCAGGTACTCACGGACCTAAGCTATCCTCATGGCCTGAGTGGAGACCCTTCTCCCCATCCTACAGCTGAGAAGGGGCCCAGAGAGGGTGAGTCGCCCATCAGGGTCACACAGCACAGTCTGTGCTCTGAAGGCCCAGGGTGGCCTGGCTATGTCAGGGCCTCAGCTCATCACTAGGGGAGAGAGAGATTGCTGTTCCATCTACAGACAGAGGGGTGAGCCCTGAGGAGGGTGAGGTCCAAGGCCACATAGTTAGAGGGGATGGGGCCAGGATGAACCACAAGCTCCCCTCCCCATGCACCTCTCTGCCCCCTATGGTGGGCACAGGCCCCCGGCAGTGGGGTGGTCAGGCAGGTAGAGTCCTGCAGGCCAGGACCTGGGCCTCCACGTCGCTGTGGGTGGCTACAGGGGGCAGAGGACCCAGCCTGTCACTGGCCAGCTGCTGGGAGTGCGTCCTTCCCATCCTCACCACCAGCAGATGGGCAGTGGTGGCCAGCACAGTACCTCAGGGCCCTGACTGCCCGACTGCCCGGGTCCGGGTTCTGCAGGCTCCTTTCCTTTCTGCGCCTGGGATGGAGCCAGCTGAGGGAGGGAGGGCGCCCAGGCCAAAATTTCTGGGCCCAGAGCCCAGGCAGACCATCGGAGTGGGGGATGGGGGCTCCCACAAGGTGTTCTCCAGCTTCCTGGGAGGGAGCCTGGCCCTGGTTTGGGCCCTGGCCGGGTGGACCAGCCCCTGCTCCTCCTCCAAGACCCCGGCCCAGCAGCTTTCCCAGCTGCACTGCCTCTGAGCTCTCTTTAAGCTTGATGCGGGTTCAGAGCTAGTGGCCCCACTTCATGGCCTGTCCCCTGTCCCCACCCTACCCCCACCCCACACAGTGCAGGGATGAAGGAGGGGGTGCCGGGCCTGGGCCCAGCGTGGGCTTCTGGGGGCCCTGCCTTGTGTACCTCACGGGCTGAGAGTGTCAGGGTGGGGGCGGGGACTCTGTGCCAGAGATGGTCCCTGGGGGTGTGGGTGGTGCTTTACCCCAGATCGAGTCAAGACTGGGCGCGGGGCACACCCCCGTGGAGCCACTCTGCCTGCAGTAGGTACTCGTGCCCCTGTGGTGGGGGGCTCCAACGAGGTCACCCGGTGACAGGCAGGTGCAGGGGCCTCCTCCTGGCTGCTGGGGGGGTGAGCAGGCTCCGGGCCCACTGGGGTGGGGAGTGGGTCATGGGATTCTGTACAGGCAGGGTTGGGGGCCCCCTTCTGGCTCAGCTCCCTCGCCAGGTGCATGTCCTCAGGGTCCCCTGCCATGACCACCTCCTCTGATGGCCTGTCTCCCCCCAGGAGCTGCTGCTCTTCCTCCAGAGCCTGCCCACGGCCACCTGGGGTGACGAGGACATCAGCCTGCTGCTGGCTGAGGCCTACCGCCTGAAGTTCGCCTTCGCAGACGCCCCCAACCACTACAAGAAGTAAGTGCAACGCCTCGGCCCCCCGGCTGCGCCTCCCCTGCCCGGCCGAGTGTCCGAGAGCATCCTCGGGCCAGGAAGGCCTCTGGGCCGCCCTGTGGGGCGTGCAGCAGGCACCGGGCCTTCACCCGTGGACAGTGAGGACAGGCTGCCCGCCGTCCGGGATACCAAAGAGATGGGGCTGGAGCCTCCGCCCGCCCTGGCCTGTCCTTGCCAAATCGCCGCCTCCAGGACACCTGCCTGCCACAGCCACCTGAGAACAGACGCCTCGGAGTGGCAGCAGCCATCTTAGATCTGCCTCCACTGCAAAACATCTGTTGTTGCGTGAGAGAGAATAAAGTATAGACAAAACGGCGAGCCACGTGCCGCGCTGACCCGTGACGTGTCTGTGCTCCCTCAGGACCTCAGAGCCGGCCCTGTTCCTTTGACGCTGAGCACGTCGACTCTGGTGTGTATTTTCCTTCTTGGGTTAACCCGTCACACCCTAGGGGGAGCTGGCGGAGCGGGCACCGAGGGGCCAGAGAGAGCTGGCCTTCCCAGCAGCGCCGACACTGTGTGTCTCACCTCTTAGAGCAGCCCCCACCTGCTGGTCTGCGCCAAGTGACCGCCAGCAGGAGCTGTTCTCTGCCACTCACCTCTGTCCTCCATCCCCTCCCCTGCCGGCTGGAGCCTGAGGAGCCGCAACCTTGGGGACAGGCCACGATTGTCTGCGGGTCAGAGCCTGATTTCTTTCTGCCGTTCCCTGCTTCCTGGGGCAGGACAGCAGGCAGAAGGTCCCCGAGAGGGCCCTGGGGCAGGACAGTGGGCAGAAGGTCCCCGAGAGGGCCCTGGGGCAGGACAGCGGGCAGAAGGTCCCCGAGAGGGCTCTGTTCCAGGTGCTTCTGACTCGCCTCCCACTAGTTCCCGGGGCTGCAGGGCAGCGCGAGGCACAGGCTGGGCCGCAGCCCACAGCCCCCCTGATCCCTGGGCCCAGGGAAGGCCCCCACATCCTCATGACCCCCTCTGCACTCAGATGGCGGCTCAGACACCTCGCCCCTGCTGGGCCCCTTCTGGGGTGCCCCACCCCTATGTCCCGGTACCGCTCAGACGTTGGGGGGCAGCCAGGAGGCAGCACAGCAGATGACAGGCCTGTCTGTCTCTCCGTAGGATGCGCGTGCGCGCCTTTGATTAAATAAATGCTCAGGATCGTGTGACATGGAAATCAGCACAAAACAGTAAAAGGCGTGCTAGCGGCAGGTACACCCAGGTCAGTGGGTGCCTGCTGGCCTCACACCCACCACCCCCAGAAGAGGGCCCCCCTACAACCAACCCTGTCCCAGAACCAGGACTTCCTCTTCCACCAGCCCTGAGCGCCCCCCACGCGCCCCCTCCCTTCCAGCCTGGGCACCATCACAGCAGAGGTGCCTGTGGCTCCGCTGCGCTGGCTGGGACCCCCTTCTGGAGCTCGGGACACGGTGCAGCCAGTGTGCGGGAAATGAGCGCGTGTGCAGACACTAACGTGGAACCGCTGCATCCCTGAAGCCTGTCTGAGATGCCGCAGGGCACTGTCTGTGGGCCGTGTGGTGAGCGCTGCCCAGCCTCACCCTTTATTCAGGAACATCTCCTAGCATAGAGGGGAGGCGTCCTGCCTGAGTCCGTGCCTTTCCTGACAGCCCCCTGCAGTGTGCCAGGCCCTGGGTGGGCTCAGCCCCTCCAGGGTCTTGTCACAGCCCCAGAGGACCTCACAGGGGTGCTGAGGTGCCGCCCTGCTGGTAGCCAGGTAAAGTTACTGTCCACACTGGGACAAGGCTCAGACTGGTCTGACCCCAAACCCAGACAGCGGGCTGGCGGCCAGGCTGGGCACAGTAGGGCGTTGGGAGCCAGGCCACGTCCAGGGCCCCACCACGGCACGGCCCCAACACTGAGGGTCCACTCACGCCCGGGACCCTCCACGGCACGGCCCCCACAGTGAGGGTCCACTCACGCCCGGGACCCTCCACGGCACGGCCCCCACACTGAGGGTCCACTCACGCCCGGGACCCTCC